ATTTTAATTCATCAATAATTTAACTTATTTCCTGAATTTCAGGTGGCTTAAAAGTAGAAATAACAGGAAAGTTTCCTGATATATAATCCAGGGGTACACCAATACCAGTCGGGATATTATTAGCTAATTTCTGTTTGAAGGATCAACTATGATTTCTACACAAGTTTGAAACTTCTTTCTTGTTGTTGGAGCAAGGTTCTGTAGAAGTCTCTTTGCTGTTGCAGCAGTTCACAGACTTGCGGCGCAGTAACATATTCCTCTGCTGCTGTTTGTATGGTTTGGGCAACACGGCCTGTTTGGCCCAAAGATCTCCTGAAGCCAAAACCTCCACAAAGTACTATTAAAGTCCGCAATTTTGCAATTTAAAGTAGATTAGACTGTTCTTAGCTCAATCTTTAAATATATATATATATACTTCAGGCAGGATTCTTCTGATTATTGTTTGATTGAAAACCTTACACAAGTTCAGAAAAACACTGCAGCAGCATCTCAGCCGGCGGGGTTTGATCTGTGCTTAATACATGAAAACATGATGCAGATGATCTTATAATCTTCTTTGTCTAGTGAATCATGTAAAACATGGATTTTAACATGAAACACAGGAGAGACATCGTTAGATCAGGGTTGGGGTTAAACCTCATTGTCTCCTGCTCTAACTAGCGGGGGAGGGGTGCGCCATGTGACGCGCGCTGGTTTCACTTAGGTCCTGTAAGCAAATATAAATGGCCTCCCTGGCGTTCATGTGTATTATTCGTGTTCGTTGTTTGACTGAAGCAAGAAGTATCTGTAGCATGTCTGGAAGAGGCAAAGGCGGTAAAGGACTCGGGAAAGGAGGCGCTAAGCGGCACCGTAAAGTGCACATCCAGGGCATCCAGGGCATCACCAAACCCGCCATCCGTCGCCTCGCGCATCTCCGGTCTGATCTACGGCGGTGTGCTGAGAACGTGATCCGCGACGCCGTGACTTACACCGAGCACGCCAAGAGAAAGACGGTCACCGCCATGGACGTGGTGTACGCGCTGAAGCGACAGGGACGCACTCTGTACGGCTTCGGAGGATAAACATCTCCGTGTTACCAGAAACACACACAGGCTCTTTTAAGAGCCGCCCACATCTTCGAAAAGAGTGCGTTTCATTGTTTGTTAGCTAATAATCTTACACACTTGCATAATCTGAACCTATTTTTAAATATCTTTATATTAAGTAAGCGTTTCAGCACACTCCCATAAAGGTGTTTTTGCCTTTTATATCGGTTTTAAGTTATAAAATTTTCGGTGTATTATAGTGATGGAAATTGATTCTTTCAAGAGATTCGTTCAATTTCAGTTCGTTCACTAAAATGATTCGTTCAGGTTCGTTCACTGATTTGTTCAGAGACCATTTCTTCATATTACATAAATACGCCAGCAGGTGGCGAAAAAGTGTTATGTGTTATGTTTTAAGTCAACGAACGTATTCACCTGTTACAAAAACTGATTTGGCTTTATTAAAATGTGTGCATAATCTACTCCTTAAATAAATAAAGTCTAAATAAGTTGTTCAGATGACCAAAGCACAAGGTTTTCTTGCATAATTAACATTTTAATTGTTTGGTCAGACAATTACACATTCATAAATCGGGGATTAAACGTGGAGTTATGTTCTGTATGCTAAATATGAATATATAAACAAGCGTATGTGCACAGTACCTATAACTGCGCTTTGCATCTGCTGATTGCTGTTCGAGATTGACATGTAAATGGCCGACTGACCAGGTACACTCTCATTCATTTCGTTCACGAACGAGATCTGTACCAGTTCAGTAGTGATGGGAAGTTCGGATCATTTTACCGACTCGGACCTTTGAGTCTCGTTCAGCAAAATTAACGAATCTTTTCTCGAGTCATTTCGTTTCATGTGTTACAAAACATTAAACATTTTAAAATACGTTGATGGTTGTATTTTTATTTTTTTTAGTCTCTTATCACAGTATTCCTGTCAATGTTATATAAGGTTTTTTATGCATAATATTAACCCTATAATGTGATCAAACCGTTTAAAATAGCTGGGCTAAGATATATAACACTTTTTATGACTGCAGAGATATCTTAATTCAGTACACGCATTATTCCACAATTGTGACCGGCCATAAACAAGTTTTCACACACTTTTCCAAAGAAATGTCAAAAAATAATTATTTCAAAGGGTTACTAATGACACCTCATTTAGATATTTTCATGTCTGGGGAAAAAATGGCATTAAACGGGTTAATATGAAATGAAAGCCGTGTTAATTTAATGTGCAAAACAATAAAAATAGTTTAATTTTCTTCTTAATCTGTGTGTGTTTATCACAAAGACATCTTGAGCGGGAAAGTCAGACAGAGAAGCGCGTGCGGGAGGCGCCGGAAGCGTTCAAATTTAGAAGCCTGTGATTGGCTGATGTGTGTCTCGCGGCCGATTTCTAACCAATGAAATATGTTTCTTTCAGTCATTGTGAGAAAAGACCCAATCACGGAATAGCAGCCAGCCCTCTTAAATTAGCATGAGCGTTCAGTAACACCCAGTACATGTTTTTAAAGTTGTATTGAGTTGTTCTGCTCATCCTGAGCTAACATGCTTGAACCCGCGAAGTCTGCGCCTAAGAAGGGCTCCAAGAAGACCGTCACTAAGACCGCGGGTAAAGCAGAGAAGAAGCGCAGGAGGTCCAGGAAGGAGAGCTACGCTATCTACGTGTATAAAGTGCTGAAGCTATCTACGTGTACAAAGTGCTGAAGCAGGTTCATCCTGACACCGGGATCTCTTCTAAGGCGATGGGGATCATGAACTCTTTCGTCAACGACATCTTCGAGCGCATCGCCGGTGAGTCGTCTCGTCTCGCTCACTACAACAAGCGCTCCACCATCAGCTCGAGAGAGATCCAGACCGCCGTGCGTCTGCTGCTGCCCGGAGAGCTGGCCAAACACGCCGTGTCTGAGGGCACCAAGTACACCAGCTCCAGCTCCTCTCCGACACACCCAAAGGCTCTTTTAAGAGCCACCCATCTTATCTCTTAACGAGCTCTCGGTGTTTTAATCTGTGGTTTGGGTTTACGTTAAACTAGACGTGGTTTTGTTGTTGAAATATAAGGATGCATCATATCTCAATGTTTGAGATTTTAAACCACAATTGTACAGTTTTTTTTTTTTTT